GGTCTTCCCGGGATAGAACCGATCTGAGGACGGTTATTGTCGCCAGGAAGGCTTCGTCGAAGAAGTCCTGACGCCACTGGTGTCAGGCTACTGAGGGTGGTCCCCACCGTGAGACAGAGGTGTTCGCCGCTGAATCCGGCGCCCGCTCTCTCTCGGTGCCCTCAGGGGTTCGTTCTGCCAACCCTGCCTGTAATGGGGGGTGCAGACGGTCCCAGCGAGCGATTTCCCGAGGGACGCTCGTTTGCTCCGAGGAGCGATACAGAACGGTCGTTAAACCCTGCCTGTGCGCGGTCACAGGGCGCTGTTTCTGTTTTTAAAAACTACTCCAGAGGCCAGTCTCGAGAGACTGGTACCCTTAGTAGAATTTCTGGTAGAATGGGGAAGTCTTCCAAATATATCTCGTTGGGTCCTGCAGACTATCGAACGCGGGTACGCGATCCAGTTCAGGTCGCGTCCACCTCGTTTCCGGGGGGTTTTGCCCACAGTGGTGACCCCCGAGCAGGCTCTGGTTATGGAACAAGAAGTGAAAGCTCTGCTACTGAAGGGGGCGATAGAACGAGTTCTTCCTCCCGACAGAGAGCTGGGGTATTACAGCCGGTACTTCATTGTTCCAAAGAAGGATGGGCGGCTGCGTCCGATTTTAGACCTGCGCCTCTTAAATCGGTCAGTAGGGAAGCTCAAGTTCTAAATGCTGACTCTCAAGCAGATCGTGTCACAGATCAGGTCCGAGGACTGGTTTGTCACGATAGACCTAAAAAAAGACGCGTACTTCCATATCTCCATCCTTCCGCAACATCGGAAGTTCCTGAGGTTCGCTTTTTGGGGCGAAGCGTACCAATATCGGGTCCTTCCATTCGGCCTAGCGTTATCTCCTCGAACCTTCACGAAATGCATGGACGCGGCCTTGGCCCGCTGCGTCTCCAGGGCATTCGCATTTTAAATTACATCGACGATTGGTTGATTCTGGCTCAATCGGAGCATCAGGCGATTCGGCATCGAGATGCCGTCCTCGCCCACATCAGAAGGTTGGGGTTGAGACTCAACGCTAAGAAGAGTGTGCTTTCGCCAGTTCAGCGGACCACTTTTCTAGGCGTGGTATGGGATTCGACGACGATGCAGGCACGTCTGTCGCCGGCTTGTATAGCCTCGATTATCTCGACTGTCAAGCAAGTGAAGCTAGGCCAGTCACTCACTGTAAAGGAATTCCAGAGAATTCTGGGTCTGATGGCAGCAGCATCCAACGTGTTACCGTGCGGCCTGCTGTACATGAGACCACTACAGTGGTGGCTCAGGACCAAGGGGTTCTCCCCGAGGGGAAAGCCGCTCCGCAAGATCAAGGTCACGCGACGTGGTCTCCGTGCCCTGGCTATGTGGAAAGAACCTTGGTTCCTGTCCCTGGGACCTGCGCTGGGAGCCCCGTGTCGCCGGGTATCGGTGACGACGGATGCCTCTCTCACGGGCTGGGGAGCGATCATGAGTGGTCGCTCGGCCCGCGGGTTGTGGCAAGACCATCATCTCCGATGGCATATAAATTGTCTAGAGATGATGGCGGTGTTTCAGGCTCTGAAACACTTTCTCCCAGACCTCAGAGATCATCATGTTCTTGTCCGGTCAGACAACATGTCTGTGGTCTCTTACATAAACCACCAGGGGGGTCTGCAGGGACCCGTTCTGCTGAACCTGCCTGTGAGGGTGGGCGCAGACGGTCCTAGCGAGTGGTTTCCCGAGGGAAGCTCGTTTGCTCCGAGGAGCGATACAGAACAGTCGTTAAACCCTGCCTGTGCGCGGTCACAGGGCACTGTTTCTGTCTCTATAATTACTCCAGAGGCCAGTCTCGAGAGACTGGTACCCTTAGTGGAATTTCTGGCAGAATGGGAAAGTCTTCCAAATATATCTCGATGGGTCCTGCAGACTATCGAACGCGGGTACGCGATCCAGTTCAGGTCACGTCCGCCTCGTTTTCGGGGGATTTTGCCTACAGTGGTATCCCCCGAGCAGGCTCTGGTCATGGAACAAGAGGTGAAAGCTCTGTTACTGAAGGGGGCGATAGAACGAGTTCTTCCCCCCGACAGAGAGTTGGGGTATTACAGCCGTTACTTCATTGTTCCAAAGAAGCTAACGATATACGCCTCCCTCACGGGCTGGGGGCGATCATGAGTGGTCGCTCAGCCCGGGGTCTGTGGACTTTCTCCCAGACCTGAGGGGTCACCATGTTCTTGTCCGGTCAGACAGCACATCGGGGGTCTTTTTATAGACCATCAAGGGGGTCTGCGCTCATGTCCATTATTCAGGCTAGCGCCAGATCCTTCTGTGGGCCCAGGGGAAGCTTCTTCTTTGGCGATTATATATCCCAGGATATTTAAATCGGGGAGCAGACATCCTGTCGAGGCAGGGGCCGAGGCCCGGGGAGTGGAGACTCCACCCCGAGGTGGTGGAGCTCCTATGGAGTCATTTCGGTCATACCGAGGTAGGCCTATTTGAATCCAGGGACTGAGACACTGCATGCTGTGGTTTCTCTGTATCCACCAGCCCCTCTGGGGTTGGATGCGATGGTACAGGAGTGGCCGAGGTCACCCCTGTACGCATTTCCCCCGATTGCTCTGCTCCCAGGAGTTCTGGAGAGGGTTCACCGAGTCGGGGTCTTTCTACTGTTAGTAGCCCCGCGTTGGCCGGCCCGAGTATGGATGCGGGTCGATACTTCACCCCCGCCCAGATCTATGGAGGTTGTGGCTTGGCCTCTGAGGGGGCCCAGCTCATAGAATCGGGTCTCTCGACTGAGGTCGTGGAGACCATCCTCCAATCCAGAGCTCCGTCCACGAGGAGATTATATGCCTTGAGGTGGCAATGTTTCACCTCTTGGTGGGGAGAACACCAGTTGGACCCAGTTAACTGCCCGGTGTGGCGGTGCTGGAATTCCTTTGGAGCATTTCTCCACAGGGTTATCCCACTCCACACTAAAGGTGTATGTGGTGGCCTATCTGCTTACCACGTCCCTTTGAGTGGAGCTTTTCACGGGAGATACCCATTGGTAATTCTTTTTCTTCGTGGTATTGTGAGGTCAGACCAAGAGAAACTAATCTGCTCTGCCCTCTGAGGGCTCTAGATGCTTATGTCCACAGAGCTGCCCTGTGGAGAAAGCCTGAACAGTTATCTGTTTGTTTTGGACCTCCGAAGAAAGGTTGTCCCGCATCTGAGCAGAGGTTGAGTAAGTGAGTGGTCGAGGCCATCTCATTTGCATATGAGTCCGCCGGTCAGCCTTCTCCTTTGGCTGTCTGGGCTCACTCAACCAGGGGTATGGTAGCTCCGCTCCAGGGGCGCAGGTGCTTTCGTCTAAATATGTGCCTGATTTCATACAACGGACACCTGCTCGCATGGCGGCGTTGGTATTAGCGTTCCCACGGCGTTTACACGCAGCTCGAAGTTCCCTGAATGGGAACGTCTCTGGTTACGTATGTAACCCTAGTTCCCTGAAGGGAACGAGACGCTGCGTGTCTATGCCATACTCCCAGCATGCCCGTGAGCGCTTGCTTCAGTCCTATCAGAAGCTGTTGCGCTTGTGTTTCGGGGATGCTTTATAGTTTCCTGGTCGATACGTCACCCCGCCTATGACGTTCCGTCTCGCCATTGGACAGATTTCATACGTGCTTCATGACTCGTCACGCAGAGGCGTTCCCACGGCGTTTACACGCAGCGTCTCGTTCCCTTCAGGGAACTAGGGTTACATACGTAACCAGAGACGTTAAGCGACATGAAGTGTCAAATATACACAAAGAGGACCAGAGGCCTGTTTCAGAAAGGTGGTTTAGTGAAAACCTTGAGTATGTTAACCCTGAAATTAGGGAAACTCTGGGTTTTACGTTTCAGAATAGGAGGTATGTCAAACCCCAGAGAGCATGTGTCAAGCCAGTTTCTCAAAGAGAGGTAACTTATTTTTTCTTACCCAGTTGCCGGATAATTTGTAAAATAAGAAAAAATGCACTTAAATTATCTTTACTCAGAGTAGTAATAACGACATACAATCTGCATTAATACAGTAGATACAGTTTTAAGTAATAGTGGCCCACAACTGATAAGCAGAAGTATTTCAGTAAGACAGTAATAAGTGAGTTAGCCAGTTAGCAGGAGACCTTCACAAAATATAAAACTCTCTCTCTCTCTCTCTCTCTCTCTCTCTCTCTCTCTCTCTCTCTCTCTCTCTCTCTCTCTCTCTCTCTCTCTCTCTCTCTCTCTCTCTCTCTCTCTCTCTTTCTCTAATATAATGCTTACTTCTTACTTTGTTGTTCAAGTCAAAATATCTCAATTATTTATGATTATTTAATCAAGATGCATTAACTAAAAGAAAAAAACTCTGGGTTTACTGTACATACTGTAAGAAAAAAGCTGCTCTCGACCAGTTTGGGTTCACAGAGTTGGTTACCATAGTTACCTCTCTTTCAGAAACGGGCTTGACTTAATCTGCATTCTCGGGTTTGACATACCCCCCATTCTGAAATGGAAAACCCAGAGTTTGCCTCGTTTCAGGTTTAACATACTCAGAGATTTCACTTAACCTCCTTTCTGAAACAGGCCCCTGTTCTGAAACCTAAAACTCAGAGTTTCCCATCTCAAGGTAAATAAACTCAGAGTTCAAGTTTTAACTCAGTTGGCTGAACCTCCTAATTGAAATAGGCCCCAGGAGTCAAAGTTGAAGTTCAATCCCTTGACAGAGAGTTTACTGAAAGATTCCACACTTAAGATGAACCAGCTTCAAACTATCTTGAAACAGCTATATTAATAAGTATAAGTGGGTTTATTTGATCAGACCCCGAGTTTCATTGGCCAAATGTTCTTGTCGTTGGATGCTTGTGTTTATCATTGGCAGTGTGCTTTTGTGGAGCATGTGACGCGTGTTTTTCATCGGCCTTGTGCTTCCTTATTGTCATGATTTTTGCAGTCTATGAGAGCTCTGGCTGTTATGACGTTCTCCCGTCATTTATTGTCTCAACCCTGCCCTTCTTATCTGATTATCATTCATTCTTATTGTCTGATTGTTATCTGATTATTGGTTAATTTGCCCTACTTTCTCTTACTTTATACCCTTTCATTCCCTATTTATTCTCCATGTTCTCAGTCCGGTGCCAGTTCGTCGTTGTTACTCGTCCTGTGTGACCCTCTTTAGGTCATTCCATAATTTCAAGTCCTGTCCTGCCGTGTCCAGACCGCTCTTCCTCGCCAGCTGTGCCGGTGAATCCTGCATTTTCTCGTTGGGTATAGTTTTTGTTTGTTTTTTGTCTTGTTTTATAAATTACTAAAGCAAATAATACTTTACATTTGAGTCCTCTCTACATCCTTACCCACAAACCTGACACAAACAGACTGAGGACAAAAGCAGAGAAGAAAGCATCTGAAAACAGACGCCTATAGGATCATGAGACTTTACATCCTTTTCAGTTTTCTGCTTTTGGCAGGTGAGAAATTACAATTTAACTTATTGCATCACTGCCTGCATTTCTATTCTAAAACTTAACTTAAATGCTGCTTATGAGTAAGACAGCTATTGCACACGTTAGAAGTCTATTGAACAAATGAAACAACATTCATTTTGAAAATGTTTATATTTTAAAATGTAATTAATCAGCAAACGAAAATGAGTATTAAGATGAAGTTTGATTGTTACCATTTTCAAATAATTCACTTATACACTGAAAAGAGTAAACATTGCAAAACACCCCCCCCCTGCCCAAAAAAATAAAAAATAAAAAATACACTAATTATGCAAATTCAATGTCAAATTTAATGTGTGTCTCTTTTTCAGTGATTTGCAGCTCTTGTGTAGACGCTAGTCGAGGTATGAAATGTTAATGAAGATAAAGACAAATATGAAGACAGACAGCAATCATAAGTAGCACAGAGATGAGTAAAAAAAGTCTATTTCTATTTCACAGGGACATTTGGCCGCCTCTGCAGTAGTAACCCAAGTAACCGTAAAAGAGGATGTGATAACAGATATGGCTGTGGACACTATGGAGCAAGACGGTAATTTTTTTTTTTTTTTGATAATGTTTCTTTTTGTCTGTATATAAATCTCTATTTCACAAGCAAATTTAGTTTTATCTAACTTTTATCTCCTCATAGCTCTTTCCAGAAGTCATTGACTTGACATTTAGCAAATAACATATTTGTAATAGAGGTGTGCTGTGAAATATTTATATAATTCTTTTGATTTGACACAAATTTGAAACAACCCAACATTACAAAATATCTTTATTCTGCATCACATAGTATTATATAGAAATGTTCTTTATTCAATTTTAATAAATCTTTTATTGTAAATGGGTTCTATAAATTAGACACCATGCTCATACAATAAAACAAATACAATTCATCACCATTTACACACCCTCGTGTTGTTAACGTATGAACTTCTTTCTATTTTGGATACTAACCACACTTTTTTCCATTCAATGGAAAATTTTAAAATGAATGTGTACTAATATTATCACTGTCACAAGAAAAACAAACAACAAAAAGTTTGATGTAACTGATGTCAGATCTTGATTTATTGCATCATGTTTAAATATTAAGATTTGAGAGCTATAGGGAAAGAAAAAAAAATAACTTTCTACTTAATTTTGGTCACATTATGTGTGTTTGTGCTGCAGTGGGAATCGGAAACATTTGGGTCTTGACATTTTGTGTGCTGATGGAGACACAGTTTATGCTCCATTTGATGTGAAGCTGAATGGCATATCTAGGCCATACTCAAAGAACAATGCTATCAATGATGGCATTAACTTGAGCGGGAAAGGTATGTATGTTAAATATCCTAAAGCATGAATTAGCGAAATTTTACTTTATAGACATGTATGGAAAAAAAAAAGTGCTTGCTTGGTAAAATACCACTACTTTGAATAAGATTTTGTACATCAAAAGCATAATCTTATATCTCCCACATAATCTGTTTGACAGGTCTCTGCTTCAAGATGTTCTACGTTAAGCCGGACCGTTACACCGGGACCCTGAAGAAAGGGCAGAGGATCGGACGTATGCTCCGAATGCAGAGCGTTTATCCTGGCATCCCTTCCCATGTTCACATTCAAATGTGTGACAGATCAGATCCCACCAAGTACTTCTGATGCCGATGGAGTTGATAACCATCATCAAACCTCTTCACCTGTTAAAAAAGCTCCAAGTTAAAATTATAATTTATTGATTGAATCAAAATCAAAATCATTTTTTGAGGTCTGTTGGACATAATAATGTTGATCTATGGCTTAAAATTGTGTGTACTTTAAACTCAAATTTATGCGTGAATTGATTGACTGTTATTTTTGTTGTTGTTGTTGTTGTTGTTGAGCCAACACTTTTATTGTGTATGTGTGTATATCCGACTTCTTGGGATGAGACTGTGTTAGTATATCAGCTTTTTTGAGTTCTGTTGGACATAATAATGTTGATCTATGCCTTAAAATTGTGTGTACTTTAAACTCAAATTTATGCGTTAATTGATTGACTGTTAGTTTTTTGTTGTTGTTGTTGAGCCAAAACTTTTTTTATGTGTGTGTATATATCAGCTTTATTTCTTAATGCTTTGCGAGGCAACAATAAAGATTTTAAGACTATTATCTTCTCAGTGTTACATGTCTTAAATAGTGCCATCAAAGTATAAATCACAAAATATAAATCATCAAGAGCATATAAATCCTCCTTTTATGACTTTACAAAGACATACAAAACATTTTCTGCTATTGCACTGAAGTTATAGACACTGATAATTAGTAAGTAAAGTAAAAACAAACAAACGACATGCACATCTCGGCTGCGTGTGCTCTAATAAATGTTCATGTTTAGTTTGAGCAGACCTGCTTTTTTTAAAATGTTGTTCCCTTTCGAGGGAGATTTTCAATGAGAGAACTGTGTAACTGCTGATTTTTAATTATCATTAAAACATTATTTGATTACTGATCCTGCATTAAATTGTTGTTCTCACCTATAAATAAAAATTTAGTCATAAATGACTCACCCTGGTGTTCTACTAATTTCGTAGTCTATGCCCTTCAGTCTTTTATGGACCACAGAATGATCCCATGCTATACATGTGTCGTATTCTGAGTGTTCTGGGAATATATGATATGAAATTTAGCATATTATTTAAAGAAAATCCTGACCTTGGCCATTTGTCTTTTTGAGAAATCCATATCAACAAAAACAGGACACAAAATATAATGGATTGTATAACAATTGTGTGTCATAACAAAAAAGTTATCAATTATCATTCTGACTATCATCAGACAAAAGGAGTTCCGGTCCAGTCCGGTCTTTTTATCTTCCCTCCATGCAATGCCTAATAAAGTAGGCCAGTGTTTATTCATAGATATATACATTAGATGTCGCCTTGGCTACGGAAGTTCATTAGAATGAATGCAGCAATAGAGCAGCCATCTTGGAAAAGGGGAGCCCCTCCACTTTAATGCATCAGCGTCAATGTAGACAAAGGTCTAATGGAAATAAAATCACCATAAATCATCATGAATGCGATTTTCTTGTTTTGTTTTTTTTTGTTTTTTTTTGGTTCATTCCATTGATTCCAGAAAAAAAAAAAATGTTTTAAAAACATTCGTCCCAGTTCAGATTTCATATGCGTGAACATCATACACAGCACAAAAGTTCGCCACCATCAATTACTACGAATTAAAGGCAGAGCGCTACCTAGCTACTTCCTATGAGAACACCCTTGTCCAAGATGGCGGCGGTTTTGACACATGCTTAGAACCCCAAGGTGACGTCTAGTGTATGTCTATGGTTTATTCTAGCAGCCGCTTTTACAGACATTACTAGGAAAATAGCAGCACCACGCCACCACATACTGTCAAAGCCTGTCTACTGCTTTTGTTCAACCCAATGCAAAAATCGGACATAATTTTTTTTTTCTAAAAATGCACTTTTCTAAATTTTAGCGATTTGATGAATAATAAGCCAATTTGCATTCTAAAAATCTAAACAATTCAGATAATAAGGTATCTATTTATTCACGTGTATTACCATTTTAACAATATTGTGATAATATTGATAACCTTGATTCATTTTGGTCACTATAATCGCGATATGAAATTTTCAAACCGTTTCATCTATTGTGACAAATAATGGTGTAGCAGCCTACATAATCATCAAGTCTAGCAAATACTGTGTGTTCAAATGTAAGTTTTCTCATTAGCACCCATGGTGGTTGGTTTCCATTTTCCCATGGATTTGCAGTGCCTGTCCTGACATGCGGCTGAATAATCTGTTGAAAAACATGCCAGTGGACAAAAAAAAACAAAAAAAAACAAAAAACGTTCAAATGTTCCTCATATCTAAAATAACGGTCATAATGACTTTCCATTACTTTAGTCCTGTATTTGGTTTATTGATCATAACCCCTATCATGTTCCCACATTATATAGCCTACAAGTTAAATTGTGGGTTTGGTGGTATCAGGATTGGCCACAAGAGGGAAGCATAGTACATATACGGGATTCAGGAATCAGCTTGTGTCAGGCATTAATATTTTATTTGCCCTGTTAAGCAGCTTAAGATCATTATCCTCCCTCTGCATTATAATTAGTATTTTACAGTATTATACATTTCAGGGCATAACATCTGTATTAATATTATCATATAATATTACTTTTTTGAGATATTTAAATTTTACATATTTTTTGTTTGCTATTTGTAAACTATTTGCAATATTATATTATGTTAAAATGCAATATTGTAAATTTACAGAGCCACAATAAATTGTTATTGCAAATAGTTTATTTTCAAATGTATACATTTGCATATTAAATTCAGCAAGTAGAAAAAAAACAAACAATCTAAATACACATGGTAACAATACCTATTAAAGATCATATGTATTTGAAAAGTGCTGTAAATTTTGAGTCGTGTCACATAGCACCTGCATGAAAAAGAAAGAAAAAGAAAAAGAAAAGAAATGATTTTTAGCATCAGAGTGCTTTGCTCTGCTGAGACCATAAACCTTAGTGACAGTGGAAAATGTCTGGTCAAACTGGCCAACAGTGCGATTTACTTCTACACCAAACATTTATCACATTCCAAGGGTTTCTTTATGTCCCAATCTCTCTTCTGTCCTCTCACTCTTAGCGCATGGTGTTGTCCCATCGTAAGGACATGAACGTCCTATTGTGAACATGATGTACTGCAGCGCCATGTATCCTCCTAACCTCGGAATATGGACTAAAAAAGATTCTCCAGCAAGCCACATTCATGGTTTCTATTCTATTCTATTCTATTCTATTCTATTCTATTCTATTCTATTCTATTCTATTCTATTCTATTCATTCTATTCTATTCTATTGAATCAGACATATTGTGAATATAAAACATTTCACAAATAATTAAAAATGTCAGGGCAGGTGCATTGTTACTAAAGTTTATTTTATACATTAACAATGGCGAGTTTCATATTTGTTTTCAAATAAAATGCCTGATGTATCCAGATCACGTCACATGCAGTCTGGTATTGTGATCAAAACTATATTCATCCCTTTATTGGATCTTGCCAGCTGTCTTCATTCATGTCTCTTCCTACTGTGTTAATCTCTAATTGCACAGACCAAACTTTCATCCGTTCCATTACAGATGATCAAACCAGGACACAGAGTGTTCCTCTGGGCAGTGTGAATTCATTTACATCAACTCGTTCTTATTCATTGGAAATCATGGCCTACTGTGCGGAGCTGACCGTCCAGTTTTGATTTTACCCTCCATTCATTCTGCAAGCAAATCACAAATGTCCATCACCGGTGATTATATATTTAAATTTCAGCTCACAAAGAAAACGATGACAAGGCTAGGCAATTTATCCTACTCCAACTCTCCTGAAATAAGATAATAATAATAATAATCTATTTTCTGACTCAGGAATATCTTAAAATCCATTTACAGAAATTCATTTGATTCGCCATTCTGTCTGCATTGCGTTCTCTTTTTCCCATCTATATGTTACTGACCTCTCTCTTTTCACGGGGATACAGAAGTGTGGGCATAATGAACAGAGATAATGACAGAGGCATTAGTGTGAATAGAGGAGAATATGAATATATAAGACAGATGAGAAAGTTAAGGAGCAAGAAATGGTGAGAGAGCCTTGAAGGGTTTTCGATGCCGCTTGAGTTTCAGCTGTACTCACGTGACGTAAAACTACATAAAATACTTATTTTCCAGTTTAATGTGCAAAACCAACAGCGAGGAAGTCATATGTTGGTTGTGGGCTGATTGTAGCAATTTCAACCAATGTTGTGAATGGTTTGTCCAACCAAAAAACAAAAAAACTTAGTTTGATTGCATTTTAATATATTTGCAATTCCATTTGGTGCAACAGATAACAATTCTGCAACTCTAAAACCTTTTTGGATTATGATTCACCCTGATTTTAATGAATAGAAAAGGGACAGATGTTATTGTAAAAACAGGTTAGCGGTAGGTTGATCAATAAAAAAATAATCTTCAAGCTACAGTCCGTAGTTTTTTTCTCTTTGTCGCCATCTCTGTTCGAAATCTGCAATTGCAGTTATTCACGGATTTATCAACTTAACGTGGGTTGTGTCTCGACATGACACAGCGCGGATTAATCCAATGTTTTGAGGAGAATGTTCCGCTGTCAGTCTCCGCACCGGTGAGGATACTGTCATTCGGGATCAATATAGCCTAGCTAAGACTCCTTCTTTACATGTACAGAAGTGACGCAAAGACATCCACCCATAACACTTGGCTATGTCAGGCCACAAACAGACTGGGGGAGCTTGATTTAGAGATGTCTGTTGTGGTGCCCCGGCATACTTTTTAAAAGGAAAACTCAATGGAGCTCAGAAGCTTAACTACGGGGGTTGGGTATCACTGGTGGTGGTGGAGGGGAATTGAGTTATTGAATCGAGGGGAGATTGCGTCTGGGGGGTCTGTTGGTCGTACTCACTGGCAGTTTTGGATCAGCCCCCTGACCTAGAGTTTAGAGCAAATATTCAATACTGAGCTAAATGTATTGATATTGTATTGTCACTATTGTTGTAGATTGCCAGTGTTACTATTGTTGTCATGAATATTATCATTGTGAATACTATCACTGCTACTACCACCACTAATACTAATATGAATATATGCCATACAAAGCAA